TCCCCCTCCCCCCCCGCTGCCCCGTTTCTCCCCCGTTTCCCCCTCCCCTTCGTTCCATCAAGCATGGACTTTTTCTCTGTGTTCCGTCGCCCGACCCTCCTGCCGAGAACGGACCGAAGCCGGGACCGGCCGGGTGGGGGATTCCCCAGCACAGCACCAGCATCCCCAGCTGGAGAGCCTGCCTTGCACTCCCCTCCTCCAGCTCAGGCCCCGTCACCTCTCCCCCTCCCCGCCTTTCCCTGGAGGTTGGCGCATGGGCTGCGCGGAGGCGAAGCTGTCGTGACAAGAGCCGGCCCCCTTTTGCGCTTCGTGGGGCCAGGGATCGGCTGGCGAGCCAACGGCGTCGGCAATAACAAGCGGCCCGGCTGTACGACGACGATCCAAGACGCCAGGCCTGCAACCGCGCACAAAAATGGGGTGGGGGGAAGATGCTGAGACGGTTCCCGCAAGGCCGGCCGAAAGCAGCGGCTCCCTCCGAGGACGGGTGGCGTCTGGCTGGGAGAGCCCCTCCTCTGTGTGAGGAGGCCAGGGGAGGGAGGGGCTCTTGGCTGGGGGGGGGAGGGCCGGGAGACCCTCTTCCCACGGGGAGCGTTTGGGCCGATCCTCCCAGCCAGGAGGACCGAATTTGCCGGAGGGGGGAACTGGGCAGAGCGATCCACCGCAACGCCGCCTGGGACTCTCCGGCCAGATTCCGCAGGTTGCTGCGGCCTCGGGAGCCCCGGGGAGGAGGCGGCCTGGAGGAAGGCCGGAGGAAGGGCTCTCCTCGGAGCGGTTGGGCCATGGTGCAGGCCTCGGGGCGCCAGGCTGGCTGTTGCCGAGAGGGGCGGAGCCCCCACCCCCCCGACCGCCACCCCACCGCGAGCAGACGGGCAGGGAAGCAGCTCGGCCGGGGGACCGGATTGGTTTGTCTCTCCGTCTGCCAACCCTCCTCATCCTCTCCCTTCGGACGGGGCTTGAGCAGAGGATCCCTCCTCCCCGGGAGGGTGTGGAGGGGGGGCGGGGGCTTTCGATTGCTCCTCCCAGCGGAAGGGGGCAGGCCTTGGGCCTGCCCTCCTGGCTGGCTCGCCAAGCGTGGGAGGCGAGAGCGTCTGTCCCGGCCTGTTTGCCGCGGAGCCCCAGAAGGAGGGGGGAGGGGGCGCAGCATTGAAAGCAAGGAAAAGCTGCTCCTTCCTCTCCTCCCTCTCTCTCTCTCTCCCCCGCCCTCCCCCCCCAGC